GTGCTCAGCGGAGGAGGCGGAGCTGAGGTGAGCTGGGGGGGCTCCCCAGGCGGGGTTAGCTGCTGTGGCGGGGGTCTCCCCAGGCGGGGTTAGCTGCCGCAGGACGGGGGTCTCCCCAGGCGGGGTTAGCTGCCGCAGGACGGGGGCTCCCCAGGCGGGGTTAGCTGCCGCAGGACGGGGGCTCCCCGGGTGGGGTTAGCTGCTGCATGGGCGGGGGGAGGGGAAGTCTCCCCAGGTAGGGTTAGCTGCCGTGGAGGCAGGCTCCCCAGGCCGGGTTAGTGCCGTGGAGGTGGGCTCCCCAGGCCGGGTTAGCTTCTGCGGGGGGAGGGGAGTCTCCCCGGGCGGGGTTAGCTGCAGAGGGGGGTAGCTGCTGCAGGGGGGTGGCAGGCTCCCCAGGTGGGGGGCTGGGTTAGCTGCCACGGGGGGGCTTTAGCTGAGCGGGGGGGCGACACAAGGTGGAAGTTCGAAACTTCCTTGCACCGTCCCTGTTGCCTAACAAAAACCAACAATGACAAATAAGAGAAGACCTCTGTCTTGCTACTAGTGCTAACACTGAATAAGTACCTTGACTGCACACCCTCTAAGCTCTCTTCTGAACTGATATAGCAGTAGCTTAGCATCCAATGCTGTTAGTGACAACAGAAACAGAGATGGGCCTGAACAGCAGAATATGTATCAGATTTGGACCAGAACCCCAGACTTCCCTAAGGTTTAGTGTTTTTGGCTTCTCTGTAAGAGTTCAGTATAGTACATTACAAGGCACTCACTGTGGAGTGTGGGTCCAGAGCTGGACTCCTTGGGAGGAGAGCGTAGTTTCACATCCAGTGTTAGAGTTGGACCCATCTCTGAACAAGAACAGAACAAATACTATGAAAACAAAACATGTCAAACTTCCTTCCCTGCACTTCAGTTCAATGGGCCAGGTCTTCAGCTGGTATCAATTGGCAGGAACTCAATGCAGCTGTGACAATTTACCAAAAATGCGACTCTGCCACAATTGAATGTTATTTAAGTCAATTTTTTTTCTGATGTTCCTGTTTTGTGAAGCCTACATTTTAAGCTGTTAGAGCTGGGCAGGACATTCCATTCCCACCAGGCCTTGTACAGTTATTTACAAGCAAGCTTCAGGGGCCTGATTTGGAGCTGGGTCTCTCCCCCGGCCCTGCCTGGAGCGGGCCCCGGCCTCCACCTGCCACCCCAACCCCCTGCGGGTCACCACCCCACCCCCGTCCGTGCCCGAAAGAAAGCAGCACGCGCCTTTCCCGTGCCTGCTTGTGCTGCCGGAGTAGCACATTCCTATGCGGAGCCCTGCTCCGGGCAGCAACTGCTGTCTGCTTCCCCAGGGTCCTAGTGCCCCCCACCCACTAATGGCAAGGCAGGCTGCCCTTACCCTGCTCTTCTACCCTAGCCCTGAGCCTCTCCAATGCCCCAAACCCCTCATCCCCCCGCACCCTAATCCTCTGCCCCAGCCCTGAGCCCCCTCCTGCATCATGAACCCCTCATCCTCAGCCCCAACCCTCATCCCCCACACCCTAATTCTCTGCTCCATCCCTGAGCCCCCTCCTGCATCATGAACCCCTCACCCTTGCACCCCCTCCTATCCCCAAACTCCCTCCCAAACCCCCTCCCCCTTCCCACACACCCCCTCCTGCCCTCAAACTCCCTCCCAAAGCCTGCACCCCCTCCCTTTGCACCACCTCCCACCCCCCAAACTCCATCCCAGAGCCTGCACCTTGCACCCCAATCCCCAGCCCAGGACCTGCACCCCAGACCTCCTCCCAACCCCCCTCCCAGAGCCTTAGGCAGATGTGGGGGCACAGTTGGGGAGGGTGGGTTCTGGGCACCACCAAAATTTCTACAAAACTGCCACCCATAAGGGTCGGGGCAGTCAGGGGACAGGTAGGGTTCTAGGGGAGCAGTTAGGGTGGTGGGTTCTCAGGAGGGGGCAGTCAGGGGAAGGAGGGTTGGAGGTTCTGAGGGGGGCAGTCAGGGGGTGGGAAGTGGGAGGGAGTGGATGGGGCAGGGCGGGGCTAGAGTGCCCCCCCCCCCCCCAGTGTCCTCTTTTTTGATTGTGGAAATATGGTAATCCTATGTAACAAGGTGCAAGGCAGTGATGAATCAGGTCTGCCATCTGTAAATCATTTTTATGCAGCTCAAAGGATTTATGCAGTTCATAGATTTATGTCTATGTGATGACTGACATTTCTGACATTGAATTTGTAACATCTTGAAAGTGATCAAGACTTTGAAGTCTTCAATGGGAATGTTGGCATTGCTGGAGAACCAGCTGATCTTTATTGAGAAAATAAATGTCTAGATATATTATGGCCACCACCTGTCCTTTTTCTTTCCCAGATTCATTTTTTCTGGCTTTTTTGGGGGGGCTAAGTTTAACTGGAGTCAGTGGATTAATAAAATCTTTGGTGTTGCCTCCTCTTTATTCCTTCAAACAAGCAAACAAAATCCCCACACACACACACACACAAAAGTATCAGCCAAAGAGAGACTTTGTGTGTCAAGTGTGACAACTAGATTTCATGCAGTCAATAATCGAGGGGTTACCACTGAAGTCCTTGTAGCTTCTCCAATTTACACAAGCTGAGCAATGGCTCAGAAAATTCTCAGTTCCTTGTTTCCCTTTTGGGAAGTGAGATATTTCCCAAACTAAAATAGTGGCTTTAAGAAAGACATCTCTACTGACATCTATGCAATAAATATGCCAGCTAAGGACAGTGACTTAGTAAGAACTGGGGTATCAATGGGAAATTAATTTAATTTCACCATTCATAACAATTCCCAAGGACAGAAGAGAGCTTTCTCATAGCTTTTTCTCTCAAGCTAAATGTGTGATGTAGTTCTCCCTCCCCCCAGTGAATTTGTATATAGGGAACAGGCTCTCTGCCTTTTACTCTAGCGATGGAATCTTGACCTTTAAATAATATATCTTGGAAGTGGGAGAGAGAACCCTGTTCAACCAATTTCTTCAGTCATGGCACATAATAAGCTAATGTTCAGAGCTGGTGATAAATTCAAAAGTCTTCTTTCTGTTGAAAAAAAAAACAGGCTTTATGAACATCTCTTCCCTATGGATTTTGTGGCCATATATCTGAGGGTCTATCAAATCCCTTAGCTCATTAAGGGGCAGATTCTACACCCTTGACTCATGTTGACTAATGTCTTACACCTTGAGTAGTTCTATTGACTTCAATGTTGACTACCCTTTTATACCACTTACCAAATTGCTTTAGCAGACAAACTTCACTGGAATTACTTGAAGAGTACTACCCAACACGAGTAGAGGATGCTCAAATCTAGCCCTTCCTATGGACTTGATATTAAAAGTGTCTTTATTTCAGTAGAGGCCTCTAGGTGCTACTACAATAATAATGGATATGTCTGCCTACAGTACAGTCTGATTTTGGAGATTTCCTTTCCCGACTAAATCACCATCTCTGAATTCTGCATCTGACAGCTGGTATTGGGCACTGATCAGTTATATTACAGAAAATACACCTCTACCTTGATATAACGTGACCCGATATAACAAGAATTCGGATATAATGTGGTAAAGCAGTGTTCCGGGGGTGGGGGGTAGGGCTGCGCACTCCGGTGGATCAAAGCAAGTTCGATATAACACGGTTTCACCTATAACACGGTAAGATTTTTTTGGCTCCCAAGGACAGCGTTATATCGAGGTAGAGGTGTACATTTGAGGTGACAAATCTCAACAAGTTCTCTAACACAATTTGGTAAGTGCTTTTAAAAAAGCCCTCCATTTCTGCCTTGGAGAAGTGAAAATTATTTATCATTATTCACATTCACTTAGCTTCAAATATCTTACGGTGTATTCTGCTTGCACCTTAGTTGACATGGACAAAACACAGAAAAAACAAGCCTCGACAGAGTTGGAAGAAATGCTATTAGAAAAATCCAGAAAGTATATTTTTCTCTTTGAACTATCTGGGCTGTTGCTGAAATCTCAATTTTTTAATGTCAGCAACTCTGTTTTTCGTAGAACATATGGCCAATGTCCTTTTGGCAACATTTTTCAAAGGGATCTTTCCTGAAATACTTAAACATTTCGTAATATGATCTGAGTACATTCAGTAAAAGTTCAGTCAACCATAGATTGTGACCTAATCACACCCTCTCAGTACTAGATCTATTACTGATAATAACAGTAATGTGTTTCATAGAGCCTTTCATAAAAGAGGTTATGGGGCAAACTTTGAGACGGAATTAAACACTCTGTCTCCATTAATATTAATGAGAGCCACACATCTAATGAATCATGCACTGAAACAAAGAGCCTGTGGTCAAATTTAACTCTAAATGCTATATGGAAGTTAAACCTGTGAACAGAAACTCACTGATTCTCTTTTTCTCAATGCTCTTTCAGCCCAATCCTTCTTACCTTCTCCACTTTAGTAATCTCTTTAACTTCAATGAGATGACTTGTGCTGTGATTAAGACAAGCAGAATTTTTCCTGAGGTCTTTTCTCAGCTTTCTCCAAAAGTTTCTAGTGCCTCTTTGAAATCTCATCAATTGTTTGCAGTGATTATAGTTTAAAATCCCTTCCTGCCCTAAGGCTTGTGATGGTTTGAAGACCATTTATATTCTGTATTAAAGCAATAAAATCACTACAAGACCCCTTGCTTTAAACCAGCACAAGGGAAGTCTGAGCAAAGGCCAAAACTCCAGTATTTTCTTCTATATTCAGCCTTGGGAGAGCTGTGGAGTTCCTGCTGCATGGAGGAGGCTGCTATGGAGTGGGGACACAGGAGGAATGTATATAGGATGACCAGATGTCCCAATTTTATTGGGACAGTCCCAATATTTGGGGCTTTTTTCTTATATAGATGCCTATTACCCCCCACCCCGTCGTGATTTTTCTCACTTTCTATCTGGTCACCCTAAATGCCCAGCCCCTTTGTTCTGCAGCATTGAGGTTCATGCCAGATCCCCACAGCCCAGGAAGGAGGGGAATTTAGGAACAGAGAGTGGCTAGAGGATTTGCACATATGCAGACAGTGTCCACACGCTCCTTCATATACTCCTAGGGGATACGCATGACTCACAACCCCTGTTCTATCACAGAGTTGGCAGCGCAGCTGAGGGGTTGCAGGGTTGCCCTATGCCCTGCCTGTTTCATTAGCAATGAGTGAGCCTAAATGCAGGCTCCCCATGTAATGCTCTGTCCATGAGGTTGAGTTGCTTCCAACCTAACTCTGCCCATTCCCTGCTTCCCCCAGTGTCCCCTCAATAACAGCCTCCTTCATGCAGCAGGAACAGTTCCTCCACAGTCTCTGCCTTACTACAGACTCAGCTGGTTACATAATCTTTGAGATAGTTTAGTCTCCTCAACAGATGACCACATCAGGAGTGACCTCTCTATGTCTAGCAAACTCTCTCTCTGTGGAGACTCCTCCTTTCTTGTGGGGTTGGCCTCTCGATGGTTCTCTCTCAGTTCTGGGCTGATTTCTGTAAGCGCGCTCTGGGGGTTGTGTCCACTGAGTTATAAGTGCCTCATGTTCCTTCGGATTACATGTTTCTCTTGTATAGTCATCTCATATGACCTGGATGTCACTGCACCCTTCAAGACTCCTTCAGTCCACTCCCTCTGGTGTCTCTGTAGTGGCCAGATCCTCCCAGGAATGCCCATCCTCAGGGCTGGTAGGTCTTTGGCAGACCTGTCGTTCTCCAGTGCCTGCTTTTTCTGATTGATAAACATCTCCTCTCAGTGGTGTCCCCATCCTCCTGGCTGCAACAAGTCTCCCTTCACTGATAGCAGGGTTTTGGTCCCTCATCCCATCAGTGCCTGCACTGGTCTGTTTTGGCACCCTATAATGAGATAATCCTGTGTGCCAAAAATGTTAAGAAGGGGTCTGAATCAGAAAAAAAGAGCCTGATGTAACAGTCTCATAGCTCATTCTACCTTACTATTACTCTCTTTCTCTCTGTATATATATATATATATTGTGACAAAGTTCCTCCTCTATCTTGGTGGGTCCTGCACTTATTGGCAGATTTTCTTGCCTCAGAGATTCACCATGTGGGTTGGGGAACAGCTCAAAGACCTTCCCCTCTGGAAGAACCCACAGTACAGGTCAATTGGGAGGTTTGGGGGGAACCCAGGCCCGCCCTCTACTCTGGGTTCCAGCCCAGG